GACACATAAATATAACAATTACGTTTATCCTCACTGATGAAAGTCCAACATGGCATCTTTGTTGTCGTTTCCCAGAGTTTGATCACGAGGCACCTTGTATTTATCAGCAGATGTTCTCCTGTCACTCTGTCCACATCCACATTTCAGTGTTCACTGATAATTCATTTGATTTCTGGTTTGATTCTAGAGAGACCTTCGCTAAATCATTTGATTCTTTTACTATTTTGAGTTCGCGGAACGACCGGTTCGAAATATACGCTCATTACAAGCACCATCTTTTAGAGTGGGTCTATCCCAAACGGTGTGTGGGTCTGTGTGTTTAAGCTTAGAAAAGATGACACAAATTGTTAACACAATCATTGGACATATCTGCCATCTTTGAAATTGTGGAAAAAAAGGTCGTGTCTTTATTATTACATGTCTGCGGTATTCCCCATTGCACGTGATGGAGTTTTGTGGAGAAACCCAATGGTAAACCTATAGTCGGTCGCCCGACTAATAAATTTTACTAAAATGTTGTGATTTTTAGAAATTTCTCTGTTGCTCAGCTCTGAAATTATACTAAAACAATTATTCACCTCAGGTTTGGTGTATATTGTCAAATAATCCCCTTGACTTCGTCTCAGGGATTATTCAACGATATTCACCTCGCTTTCAGCGAATAATTGTTAATTATAACACCAATACTGACTCAGTCCACAGTTCATACTAACAGTCTGCTGATAGCTGATAACCTACTTATTTACTAACCTTTTCATAAGTTGCAGCCCAAGCATCATAAGTTTCTTTGGCATCATTTTCAGTAGATGACGGAGTGAGTTCTGAAATAACTTTGTTTAGAGCACTTGTCATCTTCAGGTGACCTATAAAAAAAAGGTGTACATGAAATATAAGGTTCATGTCACTAATTTATAGTGTACTCTCTTCCATTTCCTTAAACCTTTGAGTGACTAGTATCTAATTTCTCCTTACACTGTTGCCACACCCCTGAATCATTCATTAAGGTCAGGAGAATAAAGGAAATGACCACCAACTAGAGAAGCTCTTGACTGTTAAACAAATTCTCTTTGTCTGCACCTTAGGAAATGTATAGAGAACAGTATGGAGAATATGCATACTGATTTTGGGGTGTAAAGGGTTAAATGCCTAGCTAGCATGAGTTCAGCATGACTGTACTTTTACTGGTGATATATGAAACCAACTAGCAGCAATGAAGTATTCACAATAGTCTGCTGACACAAGTATGATGCAAGACTGTCTCCCAACCAATTTCCTAAGCCGCAGAGGTGAAAAGACATAAAAACTGAGCATGCAAACTATTTCATAAATAAATTAGAGATTTGCCAGGCTGAGTCAAATTAAAAAGCCACAAGGGAGTGGTGGAGAGGTCAACATCTGTCGATGTAAAATCTGCAGATATTCTATTTCAGACTGATCACAACCCAACCCTTACTCCCTACGTTTGTTAATTGACCATTATTTTCGTCTAATTTCTCCCCCTACAGTAAGGTGAAAATGACGGAAATGGATGCATAAACTGCCACGATGCGCCAAGGAGACCAATCTGGTTCTTGCACAAGTTGCTAATTCATATATACGCAGATTGATTGTGCTCTTTACAACGAAATTTTAGACATTGCTTCATTTTTTTTTTTTTTTTCGCGTGCGATTGCCCAAGACACTTGGACAGTTAAAAATCAAGGTGTTTTCTCCTAATGACCCAAAGTGAGACAAACAAAAAAGATTTCGTGCAGTCTGTCCCACACCTCCGTTTCCGGCAAAGACAATTAAGATTTGATCAAGTAAATTACGTGTCGTTTATATATAGTTTAGATTGTCTAGCATCATGCATCATACATTGACTAATCACACAAAATTTAACCATAAATTTACCTCAGATGTTCTCCAAAAGAACAAGTTAGCGGTGATACAAACAGCTACGGCTCCAAAGCCCAATAAGCTGCAATCCAGGTCGAAATAATTATTCGTATTGCCTAATCATGCATAGTTCAGTTCTGGGGGTTAGCACCAGGGTCGGTGAAGAAAGTCACGTGTCTATGGTGCAATTTTAGGTTTCATGTCCCCTTTAACTGCGAGAAACTACAATAAAACAAACTTGGAATCACTCGCAGCCTAGACATCCCAGCTTCTATTTCACTGATAAAGCAATAAGAGGAATACTTTGCAATCTGGTAGGCTGTAATGTCATTTCTTCGTATACAGTACAGAAGTCTACGACTCACTATATGGCTGCTACAGCACATACCACAACTATACAGTGGAAATCCGCTGACAAACTGCAAATGTGACGTAGACATTGTAAACATTGGGAGGAAAACATTGGATGTTCGTTATCTGTACTTTTGCAGTAGTCTTTTAATTTTGTGTAATAACAAGGAAGTTATTTTACTCATTTAACCTCATTTACTCATTTAATGAATGTGAAAGAGGAAATTTGAAAAGGTACTGTGCACGTTTTTACTTTTCGAGATAAGATTCTAGAGATCCGAAAGTTAATTAAGCCTAACCTGAATTTAGGAGCTGGCCGACTTCATCGATGAATGAAAAAAATATCAAGATTTTACATTTCCGGTGGCTGGCATCTCAGAAATCTGCACACTTAATTTTTTAGCATTTGATTCGCTACCTACAGTTGATACATCAAAGCTCTCATCCAGATATTACAGTAACTCTTAAATGCATGCGGCTACGTCAATTGTGCATACGCATTTTATACGCACATGCGCAGGTTGTTAGACGCGTACATACGGTACACAAGCGTGACTGATTTGTCTTTGTTATTAAATGCAACATATAAGTTCACTTGTGTTTACATTGTAGCGTAAGAGAAAACTAACGTCTTTTGGGTCTGAAAACAGGAAATCGAGTGAGGAAAATTTACCTATTGAAAACAGCTAAGCTAGCTCATACATACTTATGAAACAAATGCATAAATCCTTATCTGTGTATTTGTGTGATGTAGATGAGCATTTGAAGGTTATATTTATGTGTACGCCCTTTATTTCAAATCTGTGTGTTTTATGTGAGTTTTTTGGTTAACTTATTTCTAAGCAGTACTGAATGTTCTTTTGTTTATTTTATTACATATTCCATGTGGCAGACTTAGATTGAAAAAAATGAGTCTGCAGGATCAGTGCTGGAAAAAAATTTGAATTCCAGCAGATGGTTTCCCCATTTAACCTTTTAACTATAATTCCGAGAAGTGATCAACATGTAACTAATTATTCTCCCTAAGATAACCATGCATTCTCTAGCAAACAGGTAAGGAGAATATAGATAAGAACACCATACCTCTAATATCCAAGGAAAGGTGTAGCAGCTAGAGGGGAGAATTACTCTAACTAACAACCAGATGAGTGACCAATACAGAATTTCTTCTTACCATATCAATACTGTAACAATGTCAAGCAGACAAGTGAATTGAGAATCAAGGAAAAATATGAGGGGGATTATTGGTTGATTATCAAGGAAAAATATGAGGGGATGATTGGTCGATCCAATTCCAAATTCTCCAAACCAACATCATAAGAATTGTGGAACAGACAGTGAGGAGAATTGTAAACAAGATCTTGGGAGTGAAAGAGTTAAAAGTGAACAGTTCAGGAGGTGCTCACATGTACAGAAACTAAAGAATCACCTTCACTATTCATCTTACTGTTGTTTTTTTTTTTTATATTTGATGTTTTTGGTGATCAACAGCTTCTGAAAACAGCATACCAGTGATGGCTGATTTAGCGGAAGATCATGAAAATCAGTTGAAATATTTAAGATGTGGACACTCAGATCACCTCCTAAAGTCAATCAACAGACTACGCAAGGAAAGGAAGCTGTGCGATATCACTTTAACAGTTGGAGGGAAAGAGTTTTATGCTCACCGTGTAATCCTGAGTGCTTCTAGTGATTATTTCTGTGCCATGTTTACTGGGGACATGGAGGAAAGTCACAAGTCTGTGGTTGAACTTCATGGTCTAGATTCAGACACTATGGAATTTATTCTGGACTTTGTATATACTGAGACAATTCAAGTTAGTGTTGAAAATGTGCAACCTCTGCTGCCTGCAGCATGTCTTCTACAGTTGACAGGTGCGTTACAATTGATCCCCTTAAGAGTGACTATAAGCATTTAGTTTCTCCTTATATTACAATATCACCTCTGAATCAAACATTAAGGTCACAAGTCAATGAAGCAAATGATCACCAACTTGAGAAGCTCTTGATTATTAAACAAATTCTCCTAGTCAGCACCCAAGGAAATGTACTTGTTGTATAGAGAACCTTACGTAGCACATGAGAGCTGACAAGTTCCTGTCACCTACACATTAATCCTTGTGGCCAGTATCCACATTGCAATAACAACACTGTTTTGCTTTTTTAGCCTGAATCTGCTTGTAATGCTACTTCTTTTAGCTTGGTTTAATTGTTTTTTTAGTTCAGGGAGGTGCAGTGACCTCATGGTTAGTGATCTCAACTTCAGATAGATTGGTCAGGGTTCATGCCCTGGCCGGGGACATTGTGTTGTGTTCTTAAGCAAGACACTTTGCTCTCACAGTGCCTCTCTTCACCTGGGTGTTTAAATGGGTACCAACAGATTTAATGCTGGGGGGTAACCCTGTGATGGACTAGTATCCCATTTGGGGGTGGGGGGGAAGTAGAAATACTCCTAGTTGCTTAGTGCTACAGAAATTGGCTGGCACACAGACTCTTCTTTTGCTAGTTTTTAGTTCTATCCATATACCAAATTTGTGATTTGGATGGGTCCTAGTTAGTAAAATACGATTTAATTCCTCTTGCAGGTGTCCAAAAAGCTTGTTGTGATTTTCTAGAAGAGCAGTTGGATCCCTCTAATTGTTTAGGTATTAAGACATTTGCAGAGACTCATGGGTGTTAAGAGCTCAGTAAAGCTGCCGAAAAATACATCCTGAAACACTTTGTTGAGCTTGTTGATAGTGAGGAGTTCCTACAACTTGGCGATGAGGATCTGGTGTCGCTCATAAAATGTGACAATTTGACTGTAAGTTATATTCACTGTACTGTGTCAACTCTCTGTGACTGAAACCCTTATTAACTCAATCCTGTTAACCAGCTGGAAAGAATAAATCAATTTCTATAAGATTTGGAACATGATTTACATACAACAATATTAAAAATTGTAAAAACAAAAGCCTTCCATTAGCTTGAAACAATTTCCATAGCAGGCCCAGTTGTTTGAAGGCCAATTAGCGCTAACCCAGGGTTGAATTTTAATCCAGGTTTCTATATTTCTCTGTTCAAAAGCCGTTTTGGGATAATTTTCCCAATTAACAATTGGTTACATACATACATACCTACATTTATTTGGTAAAGCAGGTTAAGTTATATACATGAATGGCAGCAAAAAGCTGATGTGGACCTGCCTAAAATAAATTAAACGGTTCATGCTTTAGCATGCACTATCGAGTTATGGAGCATGTGGGAAGTTTGGAGAGCATGAAAGAAACGTAAGAGTTGCCTGAGGCAATAGCCAAGTGCAACTCTAGCTTCTTGAGCGCTCTCCAAACTTCCCACATGCTTCATAACTCAACAGTGCACAGCTAAAAGCATTGAACCAATTTTTTTATAACATAGCCGGTGGAATTGTGCATCAAATCCGATGCGAAAAATGGACAACAATATCAACATTGAAGCAAATCACGACGGCACTAATGCCAAGTCTCCTTTTCCATTGTTTTTCTCTTTTTCTGCCTCATTTAAGAACTCTAGCCCAAGGGAAAAGCTAGGTCAGAAAATTTTCTTTGTTTTGGGACTGGTGGACTGAGTTTGTTTGTATCCATTATTGTCGTGAAATATATTATTTTTCCCCGTGCTAACAATGGTCACTTGTGCGAAAAAAAAAATTCTTGCAAAGCGATTTGCTCACGCCATCAGCTTGCACTATCGGGATTTTGACCAGGCTTATGTATACTGAATTTGATTGCGCGGCTCTGCTAGCTATGTTATGATTCTTTTTAGAGCATTCAATCATCAAATTGTATACAAAACTGAAATTTAAACTGAATTTTCTTCTAAAGCTTTCAGATCTGAAATCAATTTTTCCACAAACCCTGGGTTATCTTAACTCACTTTTGAACAACCCATCTCAGGAGTTTTGCTGAGAACTTTCTTGCTTTCACCTTGATTACTGTGAGCATCACGAAGATATTGACAAACTATATTTAGCACTTGCTGTTGAACACAATCTGTGCATTTCAGCCTTTTTGGCTTTACCTGAAATTTGCTTTGAATATTGTTGATTGATGTAAAATTTACAGGTGCCATCTGAAGAGGCAGTTTTTGAGGCCCTCATTTCCTGGATCAAACAAGATGAAGTGGAGAGGAAGACATTGTTGCCTAAAATGTTGGAGTTTGTACGTTTACCTCTTCTTACACCACGATACTTGACAGATGTAGTTGACAGCGAGGCAAGTATTCTAATTAAATCTGTCATGAACACTTTTTGTTCAGGGCTGTCATTTTAAAATCCAGAAGGCAGCAGAAATACACCAGCTGTCAGACAATTTTTCTCTGGCTTTTTCGTAAATTGTGGTCATAGACAAAAAATTAGTATTTTTTAACCGATTCTGACTTAATTAGTTGGCTAAAAAAGTTTCTCTAATATATAACAGATTGCTAAACATCATGTTTCAAAAAGTTTCAAATTTGAAACTTTTCTGTGGGGGAAGCATGTTCACTGGCCCTCCCCTAAAGGGGCATGTTGCTTTATTGCACACTATGCTTCCTATGTAAGTATAATTCAATTCAGCAGCCTACTCAGATCAGATCAAACACCTACTCTATTTTCTAATGACAACTCTGTAGCTATTATTATTATTATTATTATTATTATTATTATTGTTATTATTCAATATTCATTGTTCATGTTAACTTCAGTATTATATCTATGATTGATCTTACAGAAATTGATAAGACAAAACCTTGACTGTAGAGATTTGGTAGATGAAGCTAAAAAATACCACCTGAGGCCTGAGTGCCGTCAAGCGATGCAAAACGACAGAACCAAGCCGCGTATTGGCCTGTCAGAAGTGATTTATGTACTGGGAGGCTTTGGAAACTTGCAGTCTCCTATAGATGTTGTTGAGAAGTATGATCCAGCACCAAATCAGTGGTCCATTGTACAGGTAATTAAATTACTCCAGCAGGCATTTAGAATGTATCACATAAAAAAAAAAACAAACAAACAAACAAACAAAAAAGGACTCAATCATTCAGGTGGTACATTAACATCGAACTCAGGAGGGTAGGTTCACAAACACTTGTGCCAAGGATCCATTAACCTTCTGCATCCTAAGATTGATATTGAGCCGTTCTTCCCAACTGTAAACAGAACCCACAGATACTTCTTGTTGTTCTTGTTTATTCTCTGCACAATAACTCACTAAGAGGACTTATAACTCACAATAAACTCTAGAGAACTCTCTCTGAAGACTCGCTAATTTTGTCGCATCCGATTGTCTGATTTTGCTCGCACGCGTTCATTACTTTATTTGGTAGTACTGGCAAGTGTCACAAACTAAGAGGGGTGGGGGTCGGTCAAAACTCTTGTACAGTATTCTAACCCTAACCCTTTAAGCGTTTGCATGAAGTAGTACTAGCAGCCCAAATAAGAGGCGCTACTGAATTGACGCAACAGCTTATAACATTTCTAATCTTGCCTAAAAATATTTTCATCGTCACTCACTGACCGTGGCATTAAATTTAATGTCTTTCAGCCAATGAGACGAAAAAGACGGTATTTAAGTGCTGTAGCCCTGAATGGAAGGCTATATGCTATTGGTGGCTACGATGCTTCAAGTCGTTTGAACACTGTTGAGTGCTTTGATCCATCAACATCGCAGTGGTCTGCCATGACTCCTATGTTACAGAGACGAGGTTTAGCAGGGGCAACCACTTTAGCAGGTTAGCAGATTTGTGAAGGGATGCTTCGGTATCACAAGGAAATATGGCAGCCTAATATTATTTATTAACGCCTTAACACTCAAAGAGCGAAAAGTGTCATTCTCTCAGCTATATCGCTCCTGAATGCAACATTAGGAAATAAAGGAAATAATCGCGAACTTAAGAAGCTCTTGATTGTTAGAGAAATTTTCCCAGCAAGCACTGTAGGAAATGTTTCGAGAGCAGTATGGAGAGCTTGCACACTGATGTTTGGGTGTACATGATCAAGGCAGGCCTGGCCGCTTGGCTCTGGACGAAAAGATTTTGTTTGGGGTCCTGGCAGGAGTCATTTTGTTCTGTTTTTCGGTAACACACTCACTGTCAGAGAATGTCTCTTAACCTGGGAGTAAAAGGGTGTATCAGTGTACTGTTAGGGGTGATTAAATTGGGTTCATCGTATCGCGGTCAAACCTCGGGCATTCGCGAGGGGATCGATTCTGGCCGGCAGCGCGCAAAGTCTTAAAGAAAAGCATATGGAATCATTTCAGTGTCGTTAAATAAACGAAAGAACGTTGAAATTGTACGCTAGAATTAAAAGTAGGCGTGAATTGAATTATTTTCTCTTTACTTTAACCCAGAGATTCAACAACTAACTCACCAACCTCGTTTTCTCAGTCCGTACATATATGTTACAGAACCTTGTTTTTTTTTTTCTGCCCCAGTTTATGGCCCAAGCGCGGGCCATAAATCTGAGCAGAAAATCTCGGTCCATAACTTACAATACGGTCATCGCACTAGTTTTGATAAGAGGTTTGTATCAGATGCGGATAGGTTTGCACTGTAATAATAACTAAAGATAACTTTTTGCTTTGAATTTCAGGAAAGATTTTTGTAGCTGGAGGATTTGATGGTACAACAAGGCACACCAGTGTTGAATGTTATGAGCCAACAATAGACAGGTGGACTCTGGTGAGTGAGATGCAAGCGCCCAGAGAGGGTGCTGGACTGGCTCATCTTGACGGCGCATTATACTGTGTGGGAGGGTACGATGGAAATAGCATTTTAAACAGCATTGAGAGGTTTGATCCCAGAACAGGACAGTGGACCGGCTTGTCTCCAATGAGTACCAGAAGATCAGGTTTGGCTGAAACCTTCTTTACCGTAACATCAGTATGCATATTCTCCAAACTGTTCTCCATACAGTTTTTTGGGTGCTGTTAAGGAGAATTTTTTATCATCTTTATCCCGTAAATAGGTCCATAGCTTCTAGTCGAGTGAAAGATTAATCGCGCGAAAATTTCATTGTTTTCAGGTCTCAAAACTCGACTCGATCCTCAATTTTCGATCCTCGAAGTTTTCGAGAAGCAAGGATCCAGAATCTATGCATCATGTGACTTTTCACTTAGTTTTGACCAAAATCTTCTGTTTGGATGACGAAACCCTGCCTTGTAATTATATAAATCATTCTTGTGATTTCAAATTGAACTTGTGCTGTGCTCTCAATATTTTTTCGGAAATCATGCATGTGATATCTGGCTAAATTTCGCTCCTCTTAGCTGAAACACCTTGATTATTTATCAGGTGCTGGAATAGTGGTCCTAGATGGGCAGCTGTTCGCTGTTGGTGGCTATGATGGCAGCCAACATTTATCTTCTGTCGAATGTTACAGTCCTTGCAATGATCAGTGGATGAACATTGCAAACATGAAGTCTAACCGGTGCTATGTGGGGACAGCGGTTGTCTGTGGGAAACTATTTGCTGTCGGTGGCTATGATGGTTTGTCTCTTTTGGACACGTGTGAGAGCTATGATCCCTCAATCCAGGAATGGACATTAATAACGTCCATGGCTACAAGTCGCTGTGATATGGGTGTAGCAGTTCTCCTTGGACAATAGGTCTTTCATGGTCACAAGATGCTGTGATATGAGTGTCGCCGTTCTCCCTGGACAGTGGGTTGTTATAGTTACAAGTCGCTGTGAGATGGGTGAAGCAGTTCTCCTTGGACAAAATGTCTTTCATGGTCTCAAGTCGCTGTGATGTGGGTGTAGCAGATCCTCTTGGACAAAAGGGTGAAACTGATAAAAATGGATTTTTGTTTAGGAGACACTGACTACCAAGCATTCGGGAATAGCAGATAATCGCAAATGCAATAATATTATCATCGAAAAATGCAAACGGAGAAAAGGAAAAAAAAGCCTTCTAAGGTAGTTTATATGCTAACTTACTCCAGGGGCCCGTTCTGTTTTCATTCAAGATGGGGATTTCAAAAGTATCGAAAAGAATACAATAAAATTATCAGCTAAAAAAAAAAAAAAAAATACAGAATGGACCGGTTTGGGTGCTAGAACCCGGTTTTCTATCCTTTTAAATTTCTCGTAGTTAGGTGTAGTTTACCATTGACGTGTAATTATTTATTTAATATTAGTTACTGATGAGCCATGTAACAGAAACATTTTACGGGCATATACTGTTGTGGATTATATGTGGATTATATGTGGATAATAATAATGATTATAATAATGTGTCGTTATTCATTTGATAAAAGTACCCATCAAAAGCTGTGGAAGATTTTGTTCCCTTTTAATGTCTTTCAGAGCAACAACTCGTAGGCATAGGGAAATAGACCAGAATAGTCGACAACTTTGCAATACTTCTCAAGAGGCGTCGACCGATGAAAAAGAGATATTGATTTTGATCGATTTTGAGAACTCTGATTGGAGCTAAGCAAGGTGTATGGTTTTAAAGGCGAGAATTAACTTTGTAAGCAGAGTAGTTTGCTAACGCTTTTGAAATGATCTAAATGTCACTGTACGACTACTATAAAGGTAAATTGCTGGAAGTACGTTAACTGATTTTGCAGCAGGGCATTATGGGGTCTTGGAAGCTGACATACACGAAATCGTCCAGGAAAATTTGCCTTATGTTACGGTTGTGCCGTGTGTTTCAAACGTTTATTATTTCTCTCTTTATAGCTTACTTCACAACGCTCAAAGGCAAAAGCATTACAACTACATTTCATGGTCAAACGCCATCACCATCTTACATGTATTCACATGGAGACTTTATGCTGAGGGTGTGATGTCATCGGGGGCTGTGCAACCTCAACCTAAGAATTTGTGTGAGCAGAATTGAAGAACTGGAAGGAAAATTTCCTTTTATTGCTTTTTCAAAGTTAATTTTTTCAAAAGAAGATATCAAGAGGAGACCAAATTCGAAGAAAAGAAAATGTCAAATTCGCGTTAACTGCTTGCAATTGCAGGAACTGTGCAAATTTACAACGTCATATCTCAAGGCCGTCCAATGAGCCTTGAGCGGCGAACTCTTTGCCCTGACGAAGGGCTAAGGCTTGAAACGTCAGCTTTAGATTATCTATGGTGTTCAGTTTATATTATCAAATCAGTTCATAATGTTATGTTTTTAAGACATATTGATGGAACACAGTTCTATTGCCTTTTAGAGATAGTTATTGATGGAACGCAGTTAGGCCTTTATAGATTATGCTAGCTTAATTTTCGGCAAATTTCTGCCAAGTAGCAATGCTAGCATAATTCGCATATTTTGATAATTATCAGATCATTTTTGATGCTATAATTTGATCATTGTTCATCTCTACTCCCAAGCACTTGGTGACTGTTTTCAATGTTTTAAGTTTTAGTTCAAGTAGTAGCATTTGTATTTCACTGTGAATCACTTAGCAGCGTCTGAAACGGTCTGAGCCCGGGTCTGGGGTGCACCGGAACCGGAAGTCACATTGTAGGCCATGTATGGTCTAGTACTAGTGTGCATGTTAACATGAACCACACGTTTATTTGAATTTTATTGTGGGTTTTTTTCGTTTCTTTCTTGTAGACAAACGGCTTCTAATTAAAAAATGTATTTTTTGGACTTATTTGCAATTTTTTCAAAGAGAATAATTTAAAAAAAAGGGGACATAATTTGGAAAAAAAAATAATTTTAGCATGATTTCACCAAAAAAAAGCAATGCTACTAGCATAATGTGCTACTTTTACTAGCATAATCTATTAAGGCCTAAACGCAGTTCTGATATCTTCTTGAAAAAATATATGTTCTCTCTCGGCAATTCTTAAAAAGTCTTTCTTACGATTTCTCTCGGCGACACTGTTGGACGATTTTGTTTCCTGTAACGAAGTTTCGCAACTTACGATGACGTCATAATGTGAGCATAACCACTGCATTTTCCCGCTGAAAAAGGATTTGTAATTATTCACCACCATGGGAGATACTTTTATTATCATCGACCCTTTTCAAGTTATGAATAGCAAATAATCAGAGATTCATAAAGAAAGAAATATGATCTTATTCCCGCCTTATACTGACGGTTGGGATTGCGCAACTCTCTTATCGTCTGATCATTCCTCTAAGCGAAGCCCTTATGAGTCGAAAATGAGTGAAAAAACTCTTCCGAAATCTCAGTTAAAACTACTGTTGCTGCGAATAACATTTAACAGCTTTTCGTTTCAATTTCTGACACAATTCCAGTCGATATGCCTTCGGCAAGTAAAACCACTTCGCGGCAACTTGGACGTAAATAGTATAAACGCAAGGTTTCTTTTCCTATTAATCCGATTGAACAGAATGTTAATCACCTTTGATATCATGATGAATTAACGATTAACGTCACTTTCATCAATAATTTGCATCAGTAGTTAGTTCCACTCTAATCCATAGCGTTTTACCAACCAACCATCGTACTTGTAGCAATGGAGAGTTCGTCGTCGATCACGAAAAGTGATCAGGACACATCGCTGAATGAGTCGACCACATTAGAGGAGGACAAAAAATCCAGAGAGGTTCAGGTGAACCCCGAAGAGGCGAGTGGTGTATCGGAAAGCGTTCGTTTGACAGAAGAAATGCTGGAATATTACCACCAAAAGGTCAAAGAAATGCCATCTCACAAGAAGAAATATGAGGAGGCTGCTTTTCGGGTGTATGGCACCATTCCCAACGGTGTTGATCCACAGAAGTTCCGCGAAAAGATGAAAAGTTTGCACAATGAAGAAAAAAAAAACAGCCTGATTCTTGACGTGAGAAGTTTCTCGGGAAAGTTCCTCAACACGATGAAGGTATCGTGAGCTACACAAACTGAACATAGAACAAGCAAAATCGTTCTTCACGATAAAAGTCTCTATTCGGCATCTGCCAAATTTCCTTCAAAAATTCTACACTGTCAGGCCAAAGGCCCTCGCAAAGTGCTCTAAATTGGAATAGTCACATAATGGAGATTTGATACAGACACTGTACTGTCCTGTACTATACTGTTAAGCAAAATTAATTCGAAATTTCAGGTTACCTACATAATGAAGAGTGGTACGCGAAAAGGAGGAAGACTCAGTTTTTTAAAAGAGGCGCGGGTTCTTCAAGTACTCCAAATTTGTATGCTTTCAAAACGGTATCTGCCGCCATGTTGGTAGTCTTCTTTGCGGCCGTTATTAAGGCGGTGGCGTCAAAGTAACCTAGACCCGCAGGAAGTAACTTTTTTTTACGAAGATGGCGTGTATGGCACATTTTCTGTGCTGACTGGTCCTGAGAAATTTGGAGGTATATCAAGCCTACGTTGTTGATAATTTTCTTCATTCTGGTAACCTGTCTGCCTTGAAAAAATTTACACTAAAAAACTTAGAAAATAAAAAGGCAGCAATATATATATTTAGTATAATTTCAGACCTGAGCAAAGAGTTTCCAGCGATCTGATTGGTCGAGCGGTTCCTTATATGACGCTATATAAACCGCTCGACGCGGTTTATCTAAAGTGTTAAAATAAAATGTTAATAAATGTTACTAAAATATGATTTTAGAAATTTCTGTTTTTCAGCTCTAAAATTATACTGAAACAATTATTCGCCTCAGGTTCGGTGAATATTGTCGAATAATCCCCTCGACTTCGTCTCGGGGATTATTCGACGATATTCACCTCGCCTTCGGCAAATAATTGTTAAATATATATATTCTTGGACTTGATTTGAATGTATTTCGAAGAGCGCTCAACTCTTAGAGGAGCATTCATAATTATAACGAACTGGTTCAAGACTTCAGAGGTAGTTCATCGTTTTATTACGACAGCTCTGTTTCGTATGGTCGAAAATGACCACACTCATCAGGTAATTTCAACGATTGACCGTTAACTTACAATGACTTGCTATAAAAGCTGGAATACGGTTGCTAGGAGATATAAAAACAATGCTACTTATCCATATAAGTCAGTGACTGGTATGCATAATTTCGGAGATTGTTACTTGATTATGAAGTTTTTAAGGAGGTATCTGTTTCTGAGTCAAAAGTATTAATAGCGAGTAAAAATATGCGGCGATACTACGTACCAAAACGTCCAATAAGTTATTTATCACCCAACACGCCAAACTGTTATTTCAGTGCGGGTGAATTTCGCGGATATTTATTTACGGGGAGTGTATGACAGGAAGTATGCAAGGTGGAAAGGAATTGGCGCGTTGTCGTGTTGCTGTTTTTATTTTCTTCAATAAATAATGAAATTTCATTGTCGTCTACCTGTTTTTCTTCGTTCTATTTATCTAATAAACTTGGATAAATATTCGCCAGTTATTCTGACTCTTCTTCGTCAGAAAAACGATTTAAATTGTCCGCCACTTTTTTTTCCAACTTCAATCCAATTCACCGCTTGCGCGATGCGAGAAAACTTGTCTAACCGGTTCTATGGAGTGCAAATGGCGCGTGATATTTGTATTCGTCTTGGGCGTTATTTGTACCCTACGGAGTGTAGTTGGATAATAAACCTAGAAACTAGAGGCTGAAAGATTAAAAATATGATAAAGAGATACTCTTAATAAATTTGAGTTTTTTCTTAAATGATAAAACTGTACTGTATTATCTTATTTCCAACGGAATAGTGTTCCAAATCTTCGGAGCAAGCGCATATAGTGAAAGCGCTATCACTATATGTTTTAGTTTTAAAGTTTGGCTGCATCGGCAGGTCTTGAAGGTTCCAGCTAGAGACCTAGTCGATTTCCGCTATTCCAAGAGTTTCGTTAGATATTGCGGGCAGAGACCATTCAATGATTTATAGACAAAAATTAAATACAGTATTTAACCCTTTCACTCTTAAGATCTGAAAGTTAATTCTCCGAACTAATATTTTTACATACTGATCACTTCTGGGAGCCAAAAGTCTACAGATTTACCTCCAATTTATATGATGCATTATCTAGCATCAGGACAAGTATAAGGCTAAGCTATCTTCTCCACGTGCAACGATGGAAAATTCGCCCTCCAAGAGTGATAAAAGCAAGTCGAGCGCATTAGAAGAAGATCAAAAATCGAAAGGACTGCGGGTGAACCCCGAAGAGGTTATTGATGCATTGGCAGTCATTCGTCTGACTGAAGAGATCCTGGAATATTACTATCAAAAAGACAAAGAAAAACAGTCCTGTAAGAGGAGATATGGAGAGGCTGCATATTGGGTGTATGGCACCATTCCTTGGGGTGTTGATCCACGGAAGTTCAAAAAAAAAATGAAACATCTACAAGGAGAAAAATAAGCTGATTTTTGACATGAGAAGTTTCCCCGGTGAGTTAAGCAACGCAAATTTTAAAAAATGGTGGCGGGAGCTATAATAACTGAACATAAATTAACAAACTTAGCCGAAAAAAATCGTTTATCACGATGAAGATCTCTAAGCTAATAGAGATTAATTAAGTCTGGTAAAAGAACTAGCTAGGGGTGGGAGAGTAAAAAAGGAACAGTCCTACTTTTTAATGCCTTTTTCTTTTGACTTTTCGACTGTCGAGGGCAGGTTTATCCTTCATGTTTTTTAAATTTTCCCAATATGTTAACGAGTTTGATGTTGGAATGTTTGATATAATCATCAGAATCAAATTGATTCCAATTCTTATGCTCACTAAATCGAAACCATTTTATATTTTGCAAGAAAATACCTTTAGAAGAAGAGGTTTTGGATTCATTCTTTATCCCAACGGTGATGCTCAATTCACTGATAAACGATACTTCAACAGACAATAATTTAATGTCTACGCAATGTTTTCTACGACAGAATGATACAAAAAACAAAGCTTGCCCGCCCGTCCTACAAACTCTTTTATTTTGTCTTAAGTTGCGTTCCAAAAACAGAGAACATCGTCAAGATACCTCTTTCAAACAAGCGGCTCAGTTGTGCTCTAGTTGATTAAATTTTATTCTTTTTTTTCGATATTGGCAAAAGCTAAAGCCATATCGATACCCACTGCCGCTCCATGAGTTTGTTTACAGTGTTCTCTGTTGAATTGGAATTAGTTTTATTTTAACATCAGGTTGAGCATTTGCCTCAGGAAGTTTGTAATGATTGGTAAATTGTTTTGATAGAAGTCTCCGTGTGCGTTGCATACATTTGAAACTCCGTTAACTCAGGTACGTTTATGTACATTTATACAGTTTAAAACACGTTCAATCGCTCGCCCATAGCGAGTCCTACCATCCAAGGCGCGTGTCATTGCAAAATTTAAATCGTTAGTTAGTGTTTTCAGGCGATGAAATTTTTTATAGGA